AAAAAAAGAAAGAAATCTGCCCTCTAGAATTTTTCAGAAATCTTCCCTCTAGGATGCCAGGGAAAGCTGTTCATGGGGCAGTGTCTCACCTACAAAACCACCATCTGATGTGATGCCAGGGAAAGCCACCAGCTGCTGGGTGCTGCTGGGTGCCGCTGGGTGCCGCTGGGTACTGTGCACTACAGGAGCAGAGCACTGGAAAAGCTGCAGCTGCTACAGGAGCCAAAAGGCTCTGCTACAAAACCTGTTGGAGTTGGGGGTGGGTGCTCTAGAGGAAGCTGCTGGCTGCCAGGAGCTGCTTGTAGCCACGCACAGCACCAGGAGCTGGGATCTGGGGATGCTGCCAACATACTGCAGAAGCTCAGAGCTGAAGAGGGCTATAATCTCTGTAGGAGCTGGTCACTGGGGAAGCTTCATGTGCTGCAGCAGTCTGTGGAACAGTCTAGAACTAAGAAGTAAACCCCTTCCTCCTCTAATGCCCGCACAGTGCCCTATACTGCAAAGCTTCAATGCCAACTGGCAAAAAGGATATATATATATATATTTAATATGTATTAAATATATATTTAAAGGGTCACATCTATTTTCGCAGAGCAAGCAAAAAGTTGAATTTGGAGCAACGAGCACAGGAAGTCAGGTCCATTCATTCTTCTCTAACACCATTGCCACGGTGTTAGACTTATTCACTTGCTCACTTTCTTTTTTTATTCCTTGTCTGGAATGTTGAAAGAGTCCAGGAACTGGTCTCCTGGCTTGGCTGCCACTCACCCAGATGATGATGTTGTGTGCATTTGCAAAAGAAGGGCTTTCCTTTGGGTGTACAAAGCCCATTGCCTGGGTATCAGCTCTCATGGACCCTGGCTAGGTATGCCCTGCACAGCTGACAGCAGAGGTCTTGTTCCTCATCTGCCCCTAGACTCCAGTCTTCCTTGGCCATATCACTCCAGATTGCCACCACTTTTCTACAACCTAAACATGACAATATAACTCACCTTTTGACCCCTCAGAACTTCCCTATTACCTACTAAATAAAATCTAAACTCCTTAAAAAGGCATACAAAGTCCTCTGTGATCTGCCTTTTGCTTTCTTCTCCAGTTTATTGAATAACTAAATGAACAAAAATGAAACCATCAATCAAAGAACTCATGAATTTCAGGACAGAAGTTGAACATCAAGGGTCTAGTCTCTATAAAGACTAACAATAATCAAATTTGGGGCAGCCTCTGACTTTTCCCTAAGCTGTGAGAGTAAGTCTCAGTTAAGAGAGTACTCCCAAGCAGGCACATTATTTCCTCTTGCATATACCTCCCCTACCAAGACAAAGTTTTTATGGTCATTTTTCCCTATCTCTTTGCCTTTTATCCACATATTCCCATCATCAAAATCAGTGAGGCCCAGCCTCTGAGAGTCTACCCATTCACTGTTTCCTCTCCATTCTTTCTACCAGTCCTCTCCACCTTGTATTTACAGTATGGGAACCACATGCCACATACTCCCTCATTCAACAGCCTGGCCCTGTACTAGGTGCTGGAGATATAGACATGAATGACACATAAGCCCTCCAGAATGACCTCCATGTCTTTGCCAGGACAATCTTCCTTGCTTTCAGTGAGTTTTTCCCCTGCTCAGGGACCTAAAAAGCACCTGTTGCCTACTCATTCATTTCTAAATTCATACTTCACTTTCATTCACTCAACAAGTGTAACTGAAGGCTTAACATGCCAGGTACTGGTACTAGGTATAAAGCGGTGGATAAGATAGACATGGGCCCTGTCCTCAAGGAATCTAGTCCAGTGAGGAAGACAGACATAAAAGCCAAAATCACAGAAATAACAATAAAATTATTACTGTTTAACTACAATCATTTTGAATGATTTCAGGGGTGCTTGTAAAAGTATGTAAATAAGAGATCTAAACTAATCTAAACCAGGAAGCAAGGCAAGGCCTGAGATCTGAGTAGGAGCCCAAGTGTAGGTGTGTGTTGGGAGGAAGAGTGGTTGTTGAATGTCCCAGGAAGAGGTAACAGCTTATTCAAAAGTCTAAGATTGAGGATACAAGGAGTGTGAGAGAATGTGTGCCTACAGCATAGCGAACAAATGGGAGAGTGGCAGATAAGGACCAGATCATGCAGAGAATTGCAGTTTGTATTAAGGTCTTTGAACTTTATCCTAAAAGTTATGAAGAGCCATTGATGGTTCTAGAGCATGTGGTACCATGAACTGACTTTTTTTTCCCCTCAACATTTTATTATGAAAATGTTCAAACATAGTGAAAAGAATTGTACAATGAACACCTCTCAGTTTGCTCCTGACTTAATTTTTAAATTATATCACATTGACAGTGTCTAGGTGTTAAAAAGGAGGAAAGAAATTTAATCTCTTCTTCCCAGGGAGGCTACAGGGAAGTTTAGAAATGATACAGCCTGGCCAATAAAACAGCTAGAAATTACTAAGTGCACAAAAACACAAGGGATCGTTGCAAAATTCAAAACACAATTTTTGGGAGAAAGTGTACTAGAATTTTTTTCTCAGGTACACCCTATCCCATTTCATCTTTATAAACTATGACTCCAGGTCCAAAGTAATGGTTTGAATCTTTTTAATCACTATTTTTTCTTATTAGAACTTGAAATAAAGCTGCTTAAGGTGCTTAAAGCTGTGAAAACTCCACAAACACTAATTTAGTTTCTAAGGTAATTGGAAATTCTCCAGGTAGGTGGAGTTGATGAGGCAAGGGGTATGGAGAAGAAAAAAAAAATTTAATTATACAGGAAGTAGAATTGATGAGCTATGTTAACTAATTAAATAAGGAGAGGAAGAGAGAAGAAAGTTTATTTTTTTATTAAAGATTCTATTTATTTATTTGACAGAGAGCAAGCACAAGCAGGGGGAGCGGCAGAGGGAGAACGAGAAGCAGACTCCCTGCAGAGCTGGGAGCCCGGCATGGAGCTCAATCCCAGGACCCTAGGATCATGACCTGAGCTGAAGGCAGACGCTTAATCCTGACTGAGTCACCCAGGTGCCCCTGGTAAGAAAGTTTTAGCAGAGACATTTAGATGGCAGAGGAGGAGATTATTAAAATGATTAATTTTGGACATGTTAATTTTTATAAGCCTCTGAAATATCCAGGTAAAAATTCAAGCAGGCAACAGGAATTTAAGCACAAAACTGGAGGGTGTTCAAAGATGTAAATATAAAATTGGAAGCCAGCAGCATGTAGGTCACCGATTGAAACCATGAAAACAGTTGAGGATGGCTCTAGAGAGTGTAAGAAAAGGACAATTGCCACCTTGAGTCATCACCAAACCTCTGGGTCTCTGGTGCCTTAAATACTGATGCTGTACCAAGTAAGAATCAAATTGCCAATTCTTACAACTCAATAATAAAAAGATTGATAACCCAACTAAAAAATGGGCAAGGTATCTGAATAGACATCTCTCCAGAGAAGATCTATACATGACTGATAAACACATGAAAAGATGCTCAACATCATTATTAGGAAAATGCAAATCAAAACCACCATGAGATACCATTTCACACTCATTAGGGTAGCTAGAATTAAATGGCAGTTCCTCAAAAAGTTAAACATAGAGTTACCATACAACCCAGCAATTCCACTCCTAGGTATATTCCCAAAATAATTGGAAATGTATGTTCAGACAAAAACTTGTACATGAATACTCATAGCAGCAGCTATTATTACTCATAATAGCTAAAAAGTGGTAAAGTGCACTTTTGGGTGCAAAAGTCTATCAACTGATGAATGAATAAATAAAACGTGATATATCTATATAATAAAGTATTATTCACTAATAAAAAAGAATGAAATACTGATACATGCTACAACATGGATGAACCTTGAAAACATCACATTAAGGAAGCCAATCACAAAGGACTTCATATTATATGATTCCATTTATATGAAATGTCCAGAATAAGCAAAACTATAGAGACAAAGTAGATTTCAGATTCCTTAGAGCTGGAAGGGTTGCAGGAGGACAGTGGAGAGGGAGATGTACAATGACTATTAATCAGTACAGGTTTCTTTTTAGGGGTGATGAAACTGTTGCCGCGATGCTTGCACAGTTCTGTAAATACAATAAAAAAACATTTGAATTATTCACTTTAAATGGAAGCATTGCACGGCTTGTAAAGTATACCTTAATAAAGCTGTTTTAATGGCTCTTTACAGGTACCAAACTACCTCACCAGCCGGGTACCATACTTTTTTTTTAATGGGTGGGTAAATGACAGGTGCAGAGGATAAGGTCTGGGCGGTACAGTACTGTATTTACCAAAAAAACAAAAACAAAAAACAAGTATAAGTGAACCAGAGTAGTTCAAACCCATGTTGTTCAAGAATCCACTATACATCCTGCTTTTGTTGGGTGATAAAAATGAATTAATCATCCCTCCTGTGACATCATTATAGTAGATACCTCTAGCACTTAAAATCATAGTTTATACATGTGTTTAATGGTTCTCCCTTACTAGACAGTGCACTTTTTCAGAATAGTGATTGCGTCTAATTTCAGCACATCAAGAACTGACGGAGTGCTTGGGCACTTAATAGGTGCTCAAATGAAGGTTATTTTCAGGAAGGAAGCATCCCCTATTGAATTTAAATAAACGCAAAGTAAAGCATGAGACCCAGTAGGGATATCTGCCCTCTCCAACCAAAAGGCGGCACAAAAAAGGGCAAAAATTAATAAAGAAGAAGAAAGGAATCAAGGATGTGAGAAAAGGGCATCTCCTCCCTCCCACCGCCAGGACGGTTTCCGTGGAAAGTTCAAAAAGAGATTCGGGTGTGGCCGGTGACATCACGGCACCCCGGGCGACCACCAACCACTAGAGCAGGCCATCCACCACACTTACTTTCCCGCCTCACTGAAACCCAGAGATGGTGGGTAGGACCCCGCGAGCCGCGGGACTTACGTCACGTCCGGTTCCGGACGCGCCACAGCTAGAAAGGGAAGGCCGAGGGCGGAGGGGCGGAGCCAAGAAAGCGCGCGTTCGGAAAGGGGGAGGGGCCGGGTTAAGGAGCGCTTCGTCACGTCCGGCAGACTTAGAGCCCGTGCGGAGGCGGTGCAGAACGCTTCGGTGTTCAGCGGCTCGGGAACCTGTGCGTTTTGTGAGGCTGCGGCGGAGCCTCCATATAGAAGGCGCAAGAGGTTGGCAGCTTCGATTGAAGCACGTCGAGCGGCGACAGCAGCTAGGAGTCATGAGCGACAGCGGCGAGCAGAACTACGGCGAGCGGGTACGTAGAGGTGGTGTAGGGGGCGGCTGTGTGGTTCCAGCTTGCATCTCTTCCCAGGCCCGTCGGCCTCGGACCTGGAGACAGGGACGATTTAGGCTCCGAAGTCTGAGGCTGGGAAGCATGGGAGTTGGGTTTAAAAAGCCCTTGCGGAGAGTGTCTTTAGGCGTTAAGTAGGCCACCGACGGGTTTATGTGGCCCCCTACCCGAGACGGCGGTTTTTTTTCCGTTAGAAGAGGGGGAAAGATTAAAAATGGCCGCTGCGTCCCCTTGGTGTTGGGGGAGGGGAGCGGTATCTTATTTCGCCGTTGCTCTCCTGCGAAGCCTCGCTGCCGCCATCTTGGGCTGGCGGGCCGGGCGCGCTGCCAGAGGCACAAAATGGCGGAGGAGCCGCGCGCCAAGGCGGGCCCGCGCCTCACAAGGCCGCGTGGGGGTGGAGAAAGAAAGGCAAGGTTCTCTGGGGGGTTTCGCCCGGCGTTTAGTTTAAGAAAGGATCGTTTTATGGACCCCAGAAAGACGGAATCTAGGGTATTCTGGGGGCCTCTTTTAGGGTGGGGGAAACGAATCCGAGGTAGACAAGTTCTGGGCCCGTTAGAGGGGGTTCGCGCGGGCTTTGTATTTGGCCTAAATGGAGTGCTTTTCTTCAATACCAAGAGTGCTTTCAAACGAAAAATCGTTACCAGAGCATCCAGTGGACTAGCTAGCCCCGAGGCCGCAGAGGTTTTCTTCTTTTATGGAGTGGGTATTTTTCACGGGATTGTGTAGAAGAAACTGGCGGGCAGTAGTTTATGGCGCCGTTATTTCCTTTGTTTTGAGGCATTCTAAGTCTGAGAACCACAGCTTCTGTTGGTGCACTTTTACTCTGAGTCTCCACCTCCCAAATGTGGAGTTCGGTGGGGCTTAAATTACAGGAATACGACAGTTTCCGGGCTTAAACGTGATAAAAAGGCTTGTCAGAATCTTGCACATTTTGGAAGTTACGGAGAATTTCTTTTTTTTTTTTTTTTAAAGATTTTATTTATTTATTTGAGACAGAATGAGAGACAGCATGAGAGGGAGGAGGGTCAGAGGGAGAAGCAGACTCCCTGCCGAGCAGGGGCTCCAGGATCATGACCTGAGCCGAAGGCAGTTGCTTAACCAACTGAGCCACCCAGGCGCCCACGGAGAATTTCTTAGGAGGTTAATAAAAAGCACCGTAGAAGTAGTTTTGGTTTTTCTTTTTCTTTTTTTTTTTTTTTAAGGCGATTTTTTAACTTTGGTAAGGAGTCAGTTGGGTTCTTTTACAGTTGACCTGTTAGGTTTTCCCTTTCTCCCAGTGCCATCCTAAGATCTCAGTAGCAGTCGTCAGGTAAATCTATTCAAATATATTAGCAAGCAAACTGCTATAAAACAGATTTGGGGCCCTTCATTAGGAGGGCATTTAAAAAAAAAACAAAACTTCCCTATCTTAGCTTCTGGAACGTTGTTGAACTGTGTAACTGGAGCCAAATCTTATTTAGCCTGAAATAACCAGGCTTTACCTGTACAGAGGAATATTGGCTTTTTACGCTTTTCTCTAAGACGGTTGATGACACCGTCACCGGAGCGTCTACCATTATTTTTAAGCCCTTGCTTTCTTAAGGTAAGAAAGTTTCGATTGAGCTCACAGATTGTTAAAGCTGTGATTTTTGATTCTACCAGTTGACTATACTGTTGAAACTAGTCACTCGTGTTTGTACTGGAAAGCAAATGATAAATTTAAGTCTTCAGTTTTCTAAACAATTACTGAGTACTTTTTGCGCTACTGAGAGAATACAAAATAGCTGGTTTCTGAGTAGAAGAGCTCTCAGTTGAACGTACCTGAATAAGTTACTTGTAATGGTGTACTTGTGAAGACGAAAATTGTCCAAAAATAGGCATATTTACATAAACAATTGTTGAAAGTAGGTTCCTGGCTTGAGAGGCGTCATCCCAGTTATTTGGCATTCTTGAATTGGTTTTTTTTTTTCCTAGTAGTGAAACATACATCCTAGTTTTTTCCCCATCTTGTTTATATAGGTTAGGTGTTCACTAAATTCTTACGGAAGGAAAGTTATAAAATAATTTTAAGCTGCATGTTGGAAATTAATTTCTATCTTACGTAAGAGTCCTGAATCCTGGAAGTGTTTCTAAACTTCGAGGTAGTGGAATACTTCCACGTTGTTTTATTTCGCATTTTGTTTTGTATGTAGATAGCTTTCCAATTGGTGTATTGGAACCTGAAGAGGTTAAATAGACCTAAGGGGAAAAAAAAAAAAAAGGCACGTTGAGGTTCCTAAAGAACATCTGGCAAAACCCTAAAGCTTAATGGAACAGATAAGATACAATGCCACAAAAAAGACTTAAGTGTACGTAACAGGTAGGTCTGATTGGCTAAAAACTTCCTTTCGAAAGTGCCTGAAAGCTGTGGAAAAAGTTGCATTCAGGGTAATAATCTTGGACATGCCTGGTATGAATAGCTTCTCTGGAACCTGAAAAATTACTGTGAATCCACTCTAGGCCCTCAAACACTTCAAACTATTAATGTAAATCATTAATAACAAGCCTAATCAGTACTGTTAATGTAATCACTTCTAATACAGATCTCCTCAGTTTGGCTGGAATCCCATCCCCCACTTAATTTAGCTGTCCAGAATCCAGACATTCCCGTACCTGCGGCCCCAGTATAGTTCTAGAAATATTTTTTACCTTACTTCTTTAGACTTTTGAAGTTCCTTTCCTAAACAGACTGGTTGAATGTGTGCAGTAGATTGTTCTCCGTTTGATCACCTTTATTGAGTGACTATATTGACACAAGTGTGGTTAAGTGTGTCCCCTTATTTTCTTTTAAATGCATACTTAGGGTACTTTCTAGAATTTTTGTGGTTCACGTCACACTTTGAGTTACGGCAGAGTAGCTTTTACCTTTATTTGTGGGGTTTTTTCATGTGAAAGTTGATTTAAATTAAAATCTGTCTCTAGAGTTGACTTCCTTGATGTAGCTGAACCTGTGCAAATTATTTTTGATCTACAAATTCAATTCTTTTCCAGTACTTTCCAAAAAATGCTTGCAAACATTTTTTGGGAAAGGGTTGACCGGCACCTTTGCAAAAAGTATTCTTAGCAGCTGTGTCACAATTTGGATGAGTAAGAATGATAAAAGAGTAGCAAGTTAGGAGGTGCATAGTAATACTGGGGGATAATCTTTAAGGTCCACTAATGGTCACAATATTTAGAGTATGCAATGTTTGTGTGTTTGGTCTTGGCACTGGTTTAATGCTCTGCCTTCCTAATGATTGTAATTTCTTCAAGATTCTACAAATGCGTCTATACTTAGAGAATCCAGAAACTAAGGAAACACTGTTGTGTGAACCAGATGGTTTGGATTTCTGTCCTGCTGTCAGGATTACAATACCAAGCAGTTTAAGAAAATTTTCTGGTAGAATATGGGCTATATAGTTTTTGTAGAAAAAATGTTTGCAATGTAGATATATTATCTTTAGTCTTATTCTTTATGGAGATGAATAGCATCTGGATACCATCCCATCAAACTGCTTTTCAGATTTCTGCAGTTTTTCTCTTCTGCTTAATCTTGCATTGTCTTTCTGTATTCTTTGTTTTTAGCCCCTAACTCTGAATTCTGATTTTCAAAAACTGAAACATCTGAATCTATTTCTTTCTAAAGAATTACAGCCATTGCACCAATTCCTTTAATAAAGGATTGAATTTCCTCCAGTGGGAGGAAATAGTTTGCATTGTTTCACTATGAGTCTGGTTAGGTATGAGTCTCTTGAAGAAACCAGGTTGAAGAATATTTTTCTTGGTTTTAACTGAGAATGTTTTAATGTTGTGGATGTCTGGAACTAGAAGGTGGCATTTTCAAACTGAAATTACAAGTGATTACAAGGTAAGTACTCTGGTTTTGTAAAAGATTAAAGAGGAATTCAGGTGGTGAGAGATGTTAATAGTATTTACTTTTTCCCCCTTTATCTCCAATAAAGGCCAAAACCTAAGTGGTAAATATTAACATTTTCATAGTTCACATTTTGCCCAAGAGGACAGAGCTACAATTGTATTTTTTGAGCCTTAGCATTCTGTGTTATGTTGATCAGTTTTCATTCGTAATTGTATTCTTTTTTTAGAAGGGATGGTGATTGAAGTTTAGGAAATTTTAAGTGTTTTTACCCAACTTAGTTTTTTGAGGTGTGGGTTACATTGAATTTCAGGTATTGTTGTCACTTAGTCTTGTTTTTAAGCAAGCCAAAAAAAGGTTTTTCACTATAGCAAATTGGACTTTTCAAATTTCCAAAATCTTTCTGAATTAGGTTGTGGAGGTTATTTTCAGATGCTGCTTTGATCAACATAGATTGCCCGATAGTGCAGCATGCGTGAAGCCCCTTTTCAGAGTCTGTATTATTGATGGCAAGAGATGGGCTTACAACTGATTTAGGCAAGTCAGATGAGGGGGCGCCGCCCCACCTCCAGGGATTTTTCTCAGTCTTCTGAAGATTTTTCTCCACCCAACCTTCTGGTAGAGTTTGACTACAGAAAAATAAAATTAGTCTATTGATGTGAGCATTAACCTCCATATTTCTAGCAGGATCAACAAATTTTTCTTTGCCCTGTTACGATTTTTAAGATATTACCCTGTCAGCAACCTGCAGAGTTTGTACATGTTTTTAATGTTATTTGAATTCCAGCCGTAATACCTAGAATCGATTTTTAACAAAAATTGTGTTGATGATGGGGAGAAGTTTCTGCTTATTTCTAAGTTGGATCTCTTAACATTAGCCCAGTAGTTGGTCATCTGGTTTTATTAAAGTGGCCACTTGAGCTTAGTAGTTGAGTTGAAATAAACCTAATATTTACATTATCTAGCAACATGTTTTGATCTTCGAATATAAAAGGAGGAAGATGGTTGGGAAGGGGTAATTTAAAAAAAAGGGGGCAGGAAGGCGTCCATATTGAAAAGTTCTGATACCTAGAGCTTTGGCCTCCATTCTAGTATCTAAGCCCTGTATCTGTATGTTATCTTTAGGAGGCCATAAAGAGGAAACCTGCTTGGGCATTCTGATTCCACGATTACATTTGTGCTGCCAGCAAACATTTCCCATTACATTTTAGTGATGGATATTAAAAGAAAATCAATTAATTGACTCCCTTAAATAAAAAGCTATTTAAAATTTTTCCTGGATTAAACAGACAATAATTGACTTTTCAACAACAAAAAAAAAAGACGACTGAAAATTGTGCTTTCTTAGGAAAGACATCACAACACTTCCCACGATAGCCATGGTTGTCTTTATACCCAGATAGATTTATAAGAACTTTTTTCTTTTTTCAAGAAACCTTTAACCCCAGTCACCCCAAAAGAAAATAAAACTAGTAGAGAGGAAATTGTTGACAAATGAAAGATCATAAGGTGAAGTACAGGATAACAAGGATGTTTTGTGAGGACTATTTTGTTCAGGGTGTTCAACAGACACAATTATACTTCATTGATCTGTTAAGTGATGTTGAGTTTTTTAAATAATTTCAGGAGGTGAGCTATAATTTTCTACCAATATTGCCACCTTAAAAAGTAGGATTTCTCTTTTGGACTGCAGAAGATTTTAATACTTTGTTCATTGAGGGGGAATTTAAACACCACTGTTGGATTCAAGTTTGTTCTGCTTTCCTTCATAGCTACTTGGATATAGTAGTTGGTTGACAGTCTTTTTATGCTTTCAGTGCTAAATTTAGTAGTTGAACCATTCATATTCTAAAATGTCACTAGAGCAGCTTTCTCTAGGGGTGGGTTTTGAGCACTTTAGTCCAAATTTTCTGATTTCCCTGACATTGTCTTCTCAGAGCTCTTTAAATATGCAGTACAAAAATGTGTGACATTAAATACATTCCTTTACTGTGACGTTAAATACATTTCTTTACTTTATTATCTAGTCAAGTCACAAGTTGTAAGCCTCTCCAATCCTGAGCCTTGTCATCATTGTACAAATGAATTGTCCATGCTTTCCTTTCTTGCACTTTTGTATTAATGTGTCACTTTTTGACTAGAGATGTGCTTTTGACACTTAACATTTTCTATTGATGAATACAATAAGTAGAAGTGTGAAATGTAATTAAAGTTTTTAAATGTTAGATGAACAGCAAATGTTCAGTTGCGCACTTCGCATTCAGCTTAAGCATGATAAATCTATTTGAAGTAGACAATTGAGGTTGATTACCTTATATTTTAGAACCAACAGGAGGCTAGTTTCAGGTTTTTGAGCTGCATATTCTAGGGTTTTTGGTTTTTTTTTTTTAAATCCAGAAAAAGGGATTTTTTTTTTCTAGTTTCAGTTTTGGCACTGGATTTTATCCTGGAGTTTTAAAATATCTTCATCCTGTTCTTTTTCTATTAAGGTTAATGTTGAAGAAGGAAAATGCGGAAGTCGTCCTTTGACAAGTTTTATAAATGAGTATTTGAAGCTCAGGAATAAGTGAAGCTGAAATTTGAAAAAATAAAAGAAAGAATGCATGCTAATTATCAGACCAGAAGTCCCACTTGTAGAATATTGAGCAATTTGTGTGAAGTGGGGAAGATGAAAGAAGTCAGAATTTGAAACGGAAGAATGAAGAAAAGAAATAAAAATGAAGTTAAGATAAGAAGTAATCTGGAATCAGAAAGCACTACGCTAAGTAATTACTAGTCTGTTTATGTGTCCCTGTATATTTTGCTAAACATGCATGCATTATTTGTTTAATAGAAGAAAATATATACAGGGCAAAGACGTGCCTTCCAGGGGAAACGTTTAAATTAGGTAATTCTAATTTTAACTTCTTAGTCAAATGATTGAAATGCAATTTAAAAAAATAATAATCCTTTGTAGTCAAATATGAGGCAGGAATGAGCTCTCTGGCATGGGTAACAGTTGGCTTCATGTTGTCCCTCTAGATTTTTTCATCTAACTCTGCTGGTCCTGGGGTATGAGTGAGTACCTCCAGAGTTGGAATTGGTGGTTTGTGCCACCTCCATGGACTCTTAAAATTCACTGATCCCTATCCTTCAGTACTGAGCAATGTATAATAGAATGTTTTCTATGTTTGTCATAGTTTTCCTAAAGAATGTCACCAGGATGGTTATAGAACCGAACCCTCAAAATTGAAGCAAACCAGTGAACAGGTTAGCCAGCTCCTTTTGGCATTTATGAAAATATTTTCTTTCCAGATGGCATAGTGGAAAGCTATGACCAATTAGGCCCTACCTTTTAAGATGCAGGTTCTAAATTCACAAGGATGAGTCTTAATTCTTTGCTGTTTAATGCCTTTTCTAGCTGAATGACTAGGATTACTGCTAAAAAAAAAAAAAAAAGTTTACCTTAGAATGAGGTGGGTCACACAAGTGAACAGGATCTCTCTTAACTCAAAGCGGCAATAGTGTTAGGTGCTTTATTCAGTAAACAGCTTTATTCCCTTTTCTCATTTTCTGCTATTAACACTTAATTGTTAGAATGATGTGAGAGGTATAGATTATATTATAAAGTAGCTTTATTCTGGTTCCCCACTCCCAGTACTTCCTGGAAAAAAAGAAACCTCAAAGTTCTATTATTTCCCCATCTGTGTGTTTTGTTTTAGTTAAATAAAAGAATCAAATGATCAGTGTAATGTTATTTTCAGTTGTATGGGACAAGTACACGTGTCAGAATAATACCCAGTGGTAGCTAACCAAGAGTTGTCCTCTGTTGGGAAAGCCAAAGTTACCACTTCTCCTTCCTGAAATGAAGACAACCTAAAAAACTTTCTCTGAGAGTTATTAGATCTTCCAACTCTTGGAAAAAGTGACTTAAATGACATTTCTAGAAGGATCTGTTTTCTGGGGTTTTAGGGCCAATGTGAGATCTGTGCTTTTTGTAATTCTGTGTTTTCAAGGAGAAGAAAATTATTCCCATTTATAGTAGTTTCCAGCTTTTGCTTTGTCCCAATTATTGGTTTGTAAAAATTTTTTGCCATGTATAAACTAATAACATTAAGTTAATGTTAATTTTGCATTCCGAATTACTTACAGATTAGGCAGAGAGATGTGAATGGATATTCTATTTCTCTTCAAGTCCATGGATTCTTTTATCAGGAGACCTGAAAGGTCCTTGGGGTCCAAAAGAGGAAAGACCTATTAAGCCTCTAAGTGGAAGGAAAGCAGTTTGGAATTTGATTATATGGTCTAAGCTGGATAGATGTATGGTGAAACGAAACACTGATGCTGGTGGACCATCCCATCCATTCAAGGTTCCCCCCACTATCACCCGTTGGCCAAAGTATCTTTGAGTCTTGACCGTGCTTTCTCCTCTCACCCCCACTCTGGCTATTGGGGAGGTAAGAGGGAGATAGGCCTCTGCAGGGGAGCAGAGAAAATGAAAGAAACAAGGTTCCAAGACGATGCTTTTGCCAAGAAAAATCAATAGGCAGGAAGCATAAAACTCTGAAATTGAATAAAGCAATGATACTTAGCATCATAAATATGTATGGTACTTCTAAGAAATGTAGAAGACCAACTCCAGAGTTATTAAAATGAGCTCTAGTTTAGGGACCTGTATTCTTAAATGCTGTGTAGGTTTACTCCATACCGGTTTAAGAGCCACTGTTCAAAATCTAATTTACTGCATCTAGTTTCTAAAATAATACAGAAGAAACCTAGTGATTTGATGGTTCCAGATGGTTTCCACTTCATCTCTCAAAATGTTTTTCTAAGATGGTGCCTTTCTCGGAATAGGGGGAGATGAAGGTTATTTTGTTGAAAGCCTTGAGTTTTTTTCTGACCTGCTCCTTTGAAGTTGTATATTGTTAGTTATATGACTAAGATCAATCTATAAAAACTTGATTCCCTGGGCAAAAATTCAGGGAATTTCTTGGTTTTGTATTAACTTTAAGTTCATGATCCTTTTCGTTGAGGTATTGAAGGTCCAGAGTAGTGGGGTTTTTTTTGGTAGGGTTTTAATGCCTTGACACATAATTTTTAGCCCTAAGAGTGGACTTTGAGTTTTCTTTATGTGGAGAATTTCCCAGCTGGTTGTGTAGATTTGCCCATGGATTAAGGTTTAAGTTAACTTTTAGATTTGGCTAATAATTTTAGGTATCATTTCTTCTGGACAGGCTAAATTTCCTTGAATATATATTTTCAAACAAGCTGAGTGCCAGCATAACTACAAAAAGGGGGTTAACTTCTTTAAGAAACATCCCTGACAAGAAAGGTAGGAGGAGGTGGAGGCATTGTTTAGGTGTTAGCCTAACCAAATGTCAGTATAAAAGGGAAAATCTTTGCATTCTAGCTGGTGTTTCCTCTATTCCTGGCCTAGGAAGTGATTGCTCACAAAATATATATGCATATAGCCAGTTAGTCTTAAGAGGCTGAGAGGAAAGTCTTAGAATTTCATAGACGCTGTATCTTTGACCCTTGATCTGCTAGGCTAAAAGTATAATCTCTTACCAGTGGGCAGACAGGTAGAGTAGGTTAGGATAAGGTTTTTCTGTTTAATGAAGCAAGAGGCTTAAAAGGAGATCTTGGCTTTCTACCATTTCTTCCTTTATATTCCAATTCCTAGGCTGACTGATTTGTTAACTACAACTACTTTATTGGTAATCTTTTTATTATGAGTTACTGTGAGCATATTCAGCTCTCCTTTCCAGAGTAAATTGTTTTCTTTGGTTTCCATTAAAAGCTATAATCATTCCATGAAGCAATCTTTTCTAACATTGGAATAAACGAAGGCAGTTAACTTTTGGGGTCCCTTTTTCTATTTTCTCTTCTAGGTTAGCTTTTGCCTGTGGTAAAGATGCCGGAAACTGCACCCCACCCCTATTTTGTGAGAACTACTTTGTCCAAGGAGAGGAGGGAGGTGGATTGTGCTTTTAAATGTCTGTGTGCAGAATATTTGCCAGAGAATGCCAAGAGATTGTTATTTGGGGTCCCCAAAGCTGTAGTACACCCTTTAACCATTCCTTGTTAAAGGTAGCTGTTCTCACTAATGAGTATCTTTTTCTTTGAACCTTTTTACAGTCAACCCATGGGGGTGATGGAGAGGGGGCTGTCACATTTCATGTCCCTTCACACTGTGTTTTATAATGACTGAAATCTTACTGGGAAGTTTCTAGAGTTCTTTCAGGCCTAGAGACCAGAACTTATTTTACTGATTGAGTTACTCTTTTCTTTACTGTCCTAAACTTCAAACTTGTTTCTTCTATATTGCATATAAATTTTTGCCCTGAGCATCATAGAAATGATCTTCCAAATTTTCTCCTATCAAGCTGTAGATCACAGAACATAATCTAAAAAGGCTATAGCTATAATTTAAAATCCTATTTTATCCTTTCAAGAATGGCCAGAATATTCTGAAAGTTTACCACACAGGGAGGTCTCCAGTGGTACTTTTATCCAGTAGCTTCAACATTGAGTCTTACTCCTACAGTGACTTACTGTACTGTTTTGGTTCTTTTTGGGTCTGGCCATTTCTGCTCTATCTTGGGTGGAAAGACTCACTAGACTTTATGCCTTTTAATTTGCCTTAAGTTGGAGCGTAAAGTACGGTTGTCTTGCTTGATGATAACACCTTTGCTATTAGACTGAGTGGGTTTGTTCTCTTAATCCGTTGTTTCTGTTTTGGTGCCTTGGCAGGACATTTCCTTGGTTCCATTACTTTATATGTATGTCTTTTCTGCTTATGAGTTGACTGTATGTTTTGACTCACTGGTGAGCCAGTTACCCTGTTTCCCTATTCTTTTGCTGGTTTCTTTAGAGATTTTCCTTACTGTGCCACTTACCTACCAGGTAGTCTAGTTTTGATTGGGAAAGCCATGGCTGTATAGTATATACCTAGACTTTGGTTTTTACATGCAATTCTGAACTCCCTACCTTCATGGACCTTGATAGGAGCCCCTGATTTAATCTGTTCTGGTTTTAATAGGTCCTTTATGTAACTTACCTAGCTACTTATTCCTAGATCCCCATCAGTTTGCCCTGGTTCATCTCCATTTAGCCCAGAAAGCTGTAGATCTCTGGCACTCTCTTTGCTCTTCTGCACAGTTCACTGCCTTTCTGCTGTGGTTCCATCTGGTTGCTTTGAGATTTTTAGGGGCTTCCCACCATGGTTAGATGGAATAGGGTTTAGTGTCCTTCAGGCTGGTCCTTGCTTTCCACTAGGTTTCTGCCTTTTGCTAGGACTTGAAACAGATTGTCCTTGCCTCTTTTCCCCACTTAAAAATAAATAAAACTTGAGAAGTTAAGGTCTTACTGGAAAAAAAAAAGGCATTTTAAAAGTAAGTTTTATGACTTTCATAGGGTTTTGTTTTATTGATGGCAACTTGATTGAAATATAGGTATAAGGTATAGGTGTCATAGTTAATAAGATTCTTTCTCACCCTAGTCTTTATGGAGTAACAATCCCAAAACACAATCCTTGGACAGTTCCCTTAACTGCTTGGCTTTGGCACCCCTTTCTGAAGAGAGTGGGGTCAGTTAACTCTTAACCCTGCTCCAGAAAAGGTGGAAGTTCAAGTTAATTGGCTTATGTCAGTTGGAGCAATGTAAATATACCAGGTATATTCAGTTCCTGCCCTTACCTATGTTTTCTTATCTTGGAAGGGGATTGCTTTCCCTCACCATTTATCTCACAGCAGCTTATTTGTTTTTAAAGTTGCCCAGAAAGTATACAAATTAAACTTTTGACATCTACGTGTAGGAATCCCGTTCTGCTTCCAGAAGTGGAAGTGCTCATGGATCTGGGAAATCTGCAAGGCATACCCCAGCAAGGTCTCGCTCCAAGGAAGATTCCAGGCGTTCCAGATCAAAGTCCAGGTCCAGATCTGAATCTAGGTAAGAAAGACTGTCTTGGGATTTTCTTCTGTTACTCTTAGCTCTGAAATTGGTGTGTGCTTTGTAAATTAGGAAGATAGAGAGGGTTAGATCATTTGTTGGCTTATTTAATATTGGTACTAGCAATGTACTTAATCATAAGTTCTGGGACAGAAGACTAAGTGGTTAAGAGCCTGGGCTTTTGGCGTTAGGGTTCAAATCTTACCTCTATTTTTTCTGACTTGGGCAGATTACTTAACCTTTTTCCACTTTAGCTTCCTTATCTTTAAAAGGCGAGTTAGTACTAGTTCTTCAGAATTGTGAGGATTCGCTATGAGTTTTAAGTATAACAAATGGACTGCAGAACATTGGCTTTCATAACTGCAATTCTTGATAAATAGGTGTAGTGTCTAATATTATATACATGTGTGTATAAAACAAAAATAATACCATAACACAGCGCACTTTTTTTTTTTTTTTTTTAATGTTGGTCTAGAGTAGGCTCTACGTCCTTGGTTTGCCCAGGACAGCCCCAGTTTATGCCTATTATCAGGCATAATTAACAGCACCTCTTTTCTCTCTTACAATGTGTCCTGTCTGGTTTAGATGACACTTCATATCACTCTAGTTAAGAGCGATTGATTGGTTTTAAAACACTGCTGGACAAAACTATGGTGATGGTGATTTTATCTTAAGTGAATGGTGGGCATAATGGGAGAGGCCGAAAAAATAGAGGGTGTTATACTGAGGGAAAGGGGGGCACAAATCAAGCTAGTAGGAAGTGCTGCATGTTTTAATGATTACCACATTTTTTAGTGTGTTAATTGATCTTCAGTATGTTAATTTTGATCTCCTTTATCTTAAGAAATGGAAGAGAGCTGATAGTGGTTTGGAGCTCTTTCTAGCAGAGTTGAGATGACTGTAGATACAGAAGAAAAACCTCAATTTAATGTTAATATATGTCTGAATTGTGTTCCGTCTTTTGGATTTTAACTCTAGATTATTAGAAGAATTAAAAGTTGTATCAATCAGTTATTTAGTCATAACCCTGAAGCTTTTGTCTTACAGGTCTAGATCCAGAAGAAGTTCTCGAAGGCATTACACAAGATCAAGATCTCGGTCCCGCTCCCATAGACGATCCCGTAGCAGGTCTTACAGTCGAGATTATCGAAGACGGCATAGCCACAGTCATTCTCCCATGTCTACTCGCAGGCGTCATGTTGGGAATCGGGTAAGATGAAAAAATTGTTGAAGCAATACGTCTCTCTTCTGTTTTGAAATTAGAACTGATTACATTTGACAGTAGACTTCTGGTAGTGAACACACAAGTTCTTTAGAGACTTTTTAGTGTTTTGAGGTTAGTCTATTTAAAAGTATTTCTTATGTTGTAAATGGTCTACATTTGAGCTATCAGTCATATGTAAGCAAAATACTGTGGCAGTGGTGTAGCTCAGCTCATCAAATAAAAAATCCCCATTGTGCATTACTATCTATATGTGCCATATTAATGTTACTGAAGTTTTCTGGGTTAGCTTTAATACTCTTTTTAGAATGCTTCTTGGTTTTTCCATTTAATTTTAAGTGCATTTATTTCGGGTATTAGGGCTTATCTTCCCTGAAATAGTTATTCCCTCTGGCTTATAGAGGTAATGCTACTCTCATTATTCTTACGCCTAGAATAAATTCCTAGGAGGTGAATCCCTTGGGCAAATTGCTCTCCAGTCTCCCCCCACAAAAATGCCAGTTTTGGTCTTCACTAGTATGAGTCCCTATTTCCCCCTCCCTACACACACACACACACACTTAATTCTGAGGTTGAAATGCTCTTCGCAGGATTTTCTTTGGGAGGGGGTGCAGAGGGAGAGAGAATCTTTTTTTTTTAAGATTTTATTTATTTATTTGACAGAGACAACAGCGAGAGAGGGAACACAAGCAGGGGGAGTAGGAGAGGGAGAAGCAGGCTTCCTGTGGAGCAGGGATACCGATGCAGGGCTCGATCCCAGGACCATGACCTGAGCCGAAGGCAGATGCTTAATGACTGAGCCACCCGGGCGCTCCATGGGGGAGAGAGAAGCAGGTTCCATGGCCAGCATTGGAGCCAGATGTTGGGCTTGATCTCAACCCTGAGATGATGACCTGAGTCAAAATCAAGAGTCCGATGCTTAACTGATTGAGCCACCCCAGGCACCCCTTTTCTGCCCATTAATGCTTGCAGCTATTGCCATAACACTGATTTTAAATTTTAATTTTTCATTTAAATCTGCTTTATTGTTAGTGACATTTTGGGTAATTTTTATGCATTTTTTCTTAACTTTGGTTTATGATAAATTTTAAGGTTTAAAATTGATTTTTCCATTTCTAGGCAAATCCTGATCCCAACTGCTGTCTTGGAGTATTTGGATTGAGCTTGTACACTACAGAAAGAGATCTAAGAGAAGTATTCTCTAAATATGGCCCCATTGCTGATGTGTCTATTGTATATGACCAGCAGTCTAGACGTTCAAGAGGATTTGCCTTTGTATATTTTGAAAATGTAGATGATGCCAAGGAAGTAAGTAAAAGTCTACCTGTAT